GTAATATTTGGCCCATGGGGCATTTATGTATTGACAAAATTTCTTCTTATTAATATGACGTGTGTTCTTTTTGTCTGCAACAATTTTGAATTTCTAAATCCTTGAATGCATTACATGGATAAACATATCATTCATCATATGCATAAACAGGTCTTCACACCAGGTTTCCTTATCTTTCTGCTGTTTATTTCAGTAAGATGGATATTGAGCAGACGGTCAAAGATCTGCAGGCACAAAACTCGTAGTTTCAACAACTCCTTATGACCTTGGCAAAGGGTCAAGAGGATCTTAAAGCACTGTTAGGGAATAAAGAGCAAGAAAAAGGAAAAAAGAAAAAGAAAAGAGTTGGGGTAGCTACACTGGGAAGAAGATTTGAGAATGAAGCTAGGAGAGTTCTTGAATTCCCCTCCACATCTGATGAGGGGACCAGTAAGGGAAAAGGAGCTGCATTACCTTCTGAATCTGAGGCTGAAGAGGAAGAGGTTGAGGAAGATGAAGATTATTCAGAGCAACAATAACCGCCAGCAGATGACAAATACAAAAACATGGAGGATAGACTGGCAGCTATGGAGCTGCAAAGGGTTCCCGGGTTAGATTTTGAAGAATTGGGATTGATTGCTGGGATTGTGATCCCTCCAAAGTTTAAGGTGCCAACTTTTGCAAAATACGACGGTCTGTCTTGCCCGAAGATGCACCTGAGGTCGTATATCAGAAAAATTCAACCTCATTCATCCGATAGAAATCTTTGGGTACACTTCTTCCAGGACAACCTGTCTGGTACACAGCTAGATTGGTTTTACCAGCTTGAGAGGTCAGAGGTGCATAACTGGGAAGACTTGGCAGCTGCCTTCTATCGCCAGTATCAATACAATGTCGACTTGGCGCCAACCTGTACTCAGTTACAAGGTATGGGGATGGCCTCAAATGAGGGATTCAAAGAATACGCCCAGAAATGGCGTGACTTGGCCGGAAGAGTACAACCACCGCTTTCAGATAGGGAGCTAGTTGATATGTTCTTGGGGACCCTATCTGGCCCTTTCTTCAACCATTTGATTGGGAGCTCTTCTGCAGGGTTTACTGAATTGATTCTGACTGGCGAAAGGGTGGAAGCTGGTATTAAGAGTGGGAAGATTCAAAGGGATGCCTCTACCTCCACAACTGTTAAAAAACCATTCCCGGCCAAGAAGGAAGCAGCTGTTATGTACTCTCATAAAGGATTGAGAAGAACTGAGCGCCGGCCGACTGTAGGGGCCGTGATGATTCAAAATTCATCAAATGATCAGCCTCATAACAATCAATCTAGACCTAATCAACAACGGGTAGAACGGCCACAACGGCAGTTCACCCGCATGAACATGACGCTTGCACAAGTTCTTCTCCATTTGTTGAAGCTAAATCTCACCAATATTAGAGAGGCGCCAAAGATTGTGAATACCACTTCCCCACACTATCATCCCAATGCTAAATGTGCCTATCATTCCGACAGCGCCGGGCATGACACCAACGATTGCTGGGCGCTTAAGAATAAAATTCAGGATTTGATAGACGCTAAAGAGGTTGAGTTCGACGCCCCTGAGAAGCCGAATCTAATCTCTGCTCCAATGCCAAAGCATGGTCGCAATGTCCATGCTGTTGAAGAAGATCTGTTTGTTTCTACTGTTGATGATCTGATAACTCCACTACTGACAATCAAGCTGAATTTGTTGAAAGCTGGGATTTTCCCAGGTTGTAAAGAAGATTGCTACCTTTGTTCCTCCTTACCAACTGACTGCCCACTGTTGAAGTTAGGCATCCAACGCCTAATGGACAACCAAGAAATTCTTTTCGAAAAGACTCCCGTTACTCCAACTCCTATCAATGAAGTTTCAATAATAACCATTTCCGCCAATCTTTCCAAGGTCCCCAAAAGGCCTGTTAAGATTACATCCGCTCCGAAGATTGTACCCTTGAAGATAACCATGCCTGGGCCCGTCCCATACAAATCTGACAAAACAATACCGTGGAATTATGGTGGAGAAATCTACTACCACGGTGTTAAACAAATTGAGATAACTGAAGAGAGCTCTAACGAAGAAACTGCCGACATTGGAAACATTGCCGGTACGAGCAAAATTACCCGAAGTGGAAGAATTTTCTCTCCAGAGATTGCCCCTCCAAAGGCAATCTTTGGACCCTCAGCTGCTCCCAAGGTTACTCCTGCACCGGTAAAACAATCTGCAAGAACTCCAATGATTGAAGAAGCTGTTACTCCCGTGGTTGTCCCTTCTGTTGCTGCTGATAAAGGGAAAGGGATCCAAGAAGAGCTTGTCAGGATGAGGGCTCAGCCGTTGGTCATCCCTGAAACCTCTAAGAAAGAAATGGAGGAGATTTTGAAAATAATAAAGAAAAGTGATTATGATGTTGTAGAGCAACTGGGGTAAACCCCCTCGAAGATCTCCATGTTGGCCCTACTGCTTTGTTCGGAGGCTCATGCCAAAGAATTGATAAGATTTCTGAAGACAGCCCATGTGCCCCAGGAAACCTCAGCCGACCAATTCCAGGATTGTGTAGCCAGCCTTACCGCCGACAACGGCCTGGGTTTCTCTGATGCTGACCTGACTTCGAAGGGAAGAAAGCACAATGACGCACTGCATGTGTCAGTTGAATGCCGAGGAACCACTCTCGCCCATGTCTTGGTCGATACTGGTTCTTCTCTAAATATGCTGCCTAAGAAAGCTCTGGACCGGTTGGATTGTGAAGGCTTGGAGCTGAAACCAAGTAATATCATTGTCAGGGCCTTTGACGGGTCTAAAAGAATGGTGCATGGGGAGGTCGACATTCCCATCAAGGTAGGCACTGAGGTGTTCAACTCCATATTCTATGTGATGGACATCCGCCCATCATACTCTTGCTTGCTAGGAAGGCCGTGGATTCATAATGCTAGGGCAGTCACTTCCTCTCTATATCAGATGCTGAAATACCCTGTTAAGGGTAAAATCATAACCGTACACGGTGAGGAGGAGTACATGATCAGTCATCTGAATTCCTTTCGGTATGTGGAAGTGGATGGCGAATTCATCGAAACACCCTTTCAACACTTTGAGGAAGTTTCTCCCGAGGTGGCAGTAGCAAAGGCAGTAGCTGAGGTACCCAAGCAGGTGGCCAGGATGGCATCTCTGAAAGACGCAAAGGCTGCAATGAAGGAGGGGAAGAGCACAGTGTGGGGTCAGTTTCCTGACTTTCCCCACAAGACAGACAAGTTTGGGTTAGGGTTTACGGCTGCGGGGCAAAAGGCTACGCGTCGCTCCAAAATTGAAAAGACACCCATCAAGATTTCTCCTCATGGAATCAATGCCTTAGAAGACGAAGACAAAGAGGGTAACATTGAAGATTGTATCTTCCCAACCATTGAAGGGGGACTGCACAACTGGGAGGCGAAAGACTTCGTTTCCATTACTTTCATCAATCAGTAATTTATCTTTCGAACATTTCTTGTTGGTCTGTAATAATTACTAAAACAATCTG